GCGCGGCTCCTGCTCCCACGCCGTGCGCCGGATGGGACCCCGAGCAGCCATGGTGTCGGGAGGAGCGGGACGAGAGCATCCCTCCGTCGAGGTTTTAGGGTGTTTGGGGTCAGGCTGGATATGGAGGTGAGTTGGTGGAGCACGAAAGGTTTGATAATCCCAAATAGCCGCACACCTGGCACTAAGCTGCTGGGAGACAAATCCGGCCTCGCTGGTATGTGCTGGGGAAGGGAGCGGGGGGATTTATGGCTTTGCCATTCGCTCCTGGAGGGGTTTTGCTGGTGGGCAGGAGAAGGAGTTAATTCAGTCTTTGCACACCCGGCTGAGCTCGGTGCAGGGCACTGGGCATCGTCGCTTGGCCTTGCCCGGAGGGTTTGCAGGGAAGGGGGGTGTAGAGGTGCCCTCCTGCCAACACGGCGGAGCTGGGACGTTGCAGACATGCTGCGCGGTGAAGGGATTTTTGTGATGGTTTAAAAAGCTCCCTGCTGGTTTGAGTTTTGATTTATTAGCATTTATTTAGCTCATCTGCTCGGGAGCGAACGGGCTCCAGGACTGCCAGGTGGTGTTGACTCGGAAGGAGGATGCAGAGATGGTGATGCTGAGGGAGCAGGAGGGCTGCAGCGAGCCGGAGGGTACCAGGGTTTAACTGGGGTGCGTGGGGGAGGCAGAGCCTCCAGCTGTTGGGGTCAGCTGTGTCCGCTCAGGTCTCTTGCTCGCTCGCAGCGCTGTGCTGCTGCTGACATTCGTGCCATCAAAAAGCAAGTCTGATACAGGACTCTGCAGTTTTGTCCCATCCCAGCCCCTCCAAAAAGACCTGAGCCAGCAGCTCGGCTGGGTGCTCCCGAGCGCGGGATGGGTGATGCTCTGCCTCTCCCCATCTGCTGATGCTTCAAATATCCCATCCCCAAAAAACCCAGCGCTGCACAGGCAGGGCCAGTGTGTGTGCAGGGGGTGGAGTACCTGATGCCAGGCTGGGGTGGAGATCCAGACCCCAAACCACAGTACTTAGTGGCCGTAGCACACTGCAGCACAGAGCAGACCCTTCCTAGGGTAGACCCTGTCCTGTTAAAACAACACGGTCAGGGTCCTTAAATCTCCTGGGATAAAGATTCTCCCTTCGAAGAACAGAGCTGCTTCGGGAAGCAACGTAAGTCACTCAGCTTTTACCAAATGTTTCTATTCAGTAGGTTTTGCTAATAGCTTTTTTTTTTTCTTGTACCACTTCGATTCTGCCCTAAATACAAATTTCAGAGCCCGAAACCATCGCAGGGATGCAGCTGGAGTTGCAGGCGCTCGGCTCCGTCTCCTGAGGCTGCAGAAGTGAGTGGGAGCAGAAGCTCACCCTCTTCCTGATGCTCTTTTTGGGCTGCGTTCACGAGGAATTGGCTCTTCTGCCTCTGCCAGCAGCCAGGCCCTTCTTGCACCGCGGTCGTGCTCGGCAGCGAGGGCTCAGCCCCGGGGCGGCACGGCCGAGCGCAGCCGCCGGCAGCGGGTCCAAAGTGGGTCGGCTCAGCCCCTTCCCAGCTTGTTTACTCAGCTGGGCGCCGCGTGGGAGGAGCGGCTAAAAAC